TGACATGATAGTCTGATGACATGATATTGGGAGACGTGATATCATTTACTGCATATCTTTTGTAGCCAATTATATCTATGATGGAAGGAATGACGCTGGTGTAACATAGACGTGGGTGATGATAAAGCGCAGTGTGATGACAAGGCGGTCGAGTGGTGAATGGCGGTGGTTTAAGCGGCGTCGTAACACAGGTGGCGCGCTGGAATAACATGGCTGATGTTTTTGCACTGATTCGGTGGCTGAAGTGGTAGTGTGGAGTGACACAAACTTGGCAATACGCTCTGTCAAAATCACAATGGTGCGGTAACGTGAGTGTGACGCGGATTCCAAAAAAGAAAAAAAAAAATGTAAAAGAAAAGTAAAAAGAAGAAAAAAATTGTGACGCTATGTAGCCTCTGAATATTTCTGCAAAATCTTAAGATTTCTGACTTGGTAACATGGCATAAATACTTAACACCTGTCTACGTGAGATGCCTAAATCAACACTCGCTACCGACATGTCTATCTACACTGACGTCCTATACTGCCTCTGAAATTCTGCAACTACACGGTGACGAGGATCCCCGTTGCACTATAGTTAACACAGTATAACCTTTCAATACGTATCACTATGACCTTTGACCTCGAGCAAGAGAAACACTCCATTTCTCCTTTTCCTCACGATCTCTCTCCTGTCCGTCAACCTATCTCCTATTTTCATATATTCTAAAAATGTATGCTATATGTGCTTACTCTAGCAAATATCAAGAAACAATAATTTAACTAACATATATAAGAGAACACCTTCAGCATAATTTTTCTGAGTTGAGAGATACTGCTGTTGTGCGCTTCGCATCCCGACTTACTGAAAGCCTTAGGTTCGATATTCAAGCACTTTACTTAATCCTGCCTTAAGCTCTTGTAAGAACACTAACAAGAGCCGCTTCTCTTCATTTTTTTATCTTTTATCAAATTCATTAATGTTCGTCTTGTTATTATCATCATCGTGATCATCAGTCTAAAGTTATTATCATTATCAATATTGTTATTAGTAGTTGTATTTGCTTTGTCGAGTTACAGCATAATCATCTTCATCGCCTTCATTATAAGTGTCGTTATCATTAAAGACATCAGCATAATTGATGTTACTGTTCATATCGTTGAATATAATGGTATTACAGTAGTAATAGCCTAATCAATGATAGTAATGGTATCATCATTTCTGTTAGTACTATCAGGTCGAAGGCCATAATTATCATTGTGGGTTTGTAACTACTATCGCCATTATTATTACTACTGATATTATGACTTTATTATCACTATCATTATAACCATTACTATTTCTTGTATCGTCATCACCATCATCATCATTACTCTTCCTAGAATATTCATCAAAATTACAAAGGGAATCACCAACATCATCATCCTTTAATGGACCTCATTCATATTGTAAATCTTCTCTCTTTTTTCTTACAAGGCCGACTCCTTCAGCCTGAGGATCTTTCTGGCGAGCAAAGCCGAAGGACACCCTCTGACCCATGCGCAGGAAGCTGACGTCATCTGAGCTTTCTTCGTAAAATTCGTTTTTTTCAGGAAATCGTTTTTTTTCCTATCCCTTGCCCTTTCGTTCGTCTTTCTTTCAGAAACACCCGAAGGAGTCGAGGAGCGTGTGGGAGCGTCGAGTAACAAGCGTGGGTGTAGAACCACACAGTTGTAGACGCGCCCGCGAGACACAGAGCAAAGCTAGGTGTGTGTGGACATGGAGAGAGGGAGAGACGGAGGGAGGGGGGTCGGTAAATGAAGATCGTTTTGTAATTATCAAAGGTAACTGAAGGAGGCGGTGATGACGTCAAGGGCGACGGGGAGCAGGAGGAGGAGGAGAGGGTGGAGGAGAAGAGGAGAGGATGGAGGAGAGGGAGGAGAGAGGAAGAGGAGAAGGGGAAGGTGAAGGGGAGCAGGGTAGGGAGAGGGGTGGATGAGGAGGATGAGAGGAGAGGAGGAGGGGAGGAAGAGGGGGGAGGAGGGAGGAGGGAAGGATGGAGGGAAACATAAGGAAGAGAAGGAGAAGAAGAAGGAGGAGGAGGAAGAAGAGAAGGAGAAGAAGGAGGAAAGGGGGAGAAGAAGAAGGAGGAGAAGAAGGAGGATGAATAAGAGGGGAGGAGGAGGAGGAGAGGAAGAAAGCACTCACACGACGCTTGATCAAACGTGTTGCTTTGGTCGCGTTCTGTTTCCGCGCGCGTGGCTCTGCTAACGGCGCCTCTTGATTGTTATTACAGCTCCGTTGGCTGTGTCGGTCCTCGCGCCATCTTTGTTGACACTGTTACTCCTTGTTGCAACTTTATTGAGTCTCCACCCTACCTACCACGTTATTCGCTCTTCATTGTCTATACATACTGATTAGAGTGTATTTTGATTTTTTACGACATACTATAGCTGCGGTGTGTATGATTTAAAACTGATTTTACTGCAGATGATCACTTTCTTTGAATTGATTAGTTGGAAATCAATAAGGTTTATATCACATGATATTTTACTGTTTCTGTGTTTATCTTCCCATCTATCTATCAGTCTAGTTATACATCTATCTGTCCATCCATCTACCTACATATCTATCTATGTACCTTCCTATTTTTCCATTATCTATATTACTCACCAGCTCTCTGCCTGTCTATCAGTCTGTCTATCTGTTCGTATGATATTATTTTCCTGGTCTGCTTATGTTCATTCGACTCTAATTTGCAGTAAACTTGTATCTAAAACAGACGCTCATTTAGATGCCAGAGTCATTATCTCCAATAACGTTTTATTTGAGTCATACTATTATATGAAACGCGTGATTTTATGCCATGCTCACCAGCGCTACGTTGCTTCCAATTAAAGAGTTACATTGAATGGTTTTAATCATCGAGTTTTATACTATGAACGATAACCATGACAAGGCTGGCTTATCACGAGGAATCCGCCGTGCAGTTAATTAGTGCATCGCCCTCGGGCCACGGCTAAAGCGTGGGTGTCTCACTACACGAGGTCTGTGTCTGGGCGAGGAAGCTGGCTATGATGAATGGGCGTGATGGGCGCTGCGTCACACATAGACACGATGCCATGAGTGGGTATGTCGGATGAGGATGGCTGTGTCAGCATATAAATCTAGGACATGAGAGGCATGATCACTGACATATTCAGAATATAAAAAAGGAAGAGATATGGAAACACTGTACTTACAGGGACCTAAGCCGAGGAAAGTTAAGAAAAAGAAAGACGAGGAAGAAGAGTGAGAAACCTTGTACCTCCAGGACCCGAGGTCACGGCCCCCTTACGACCTGTGACAACCCATTCGCGACCTGCGTCAGGTCACTCACGAAGTCACACAACCCGCCGTTACTCGTGGGTTCGGGCGAAGGAATGGTCACATAACTCCTCGCTTTGGGTTAGTTATGAGAGAGTGGCTCCACCTCGCTACTAGCCGTGCGACGGTACATCGAAAGATATATATCTCACTTGAATTCTTATTTATTTCTTATTGCGGATTTGAGGGAGAACGGATAGACAATACAAAAAGGAAGAGCAGGAGGAAGAATACACAAAGAGAATAGACCACGCCCACAGAGAAAGAGGCTCTGGCAGCCCAACGCGTGAGAGACATGCAAGAGAGAGGTAGTCAAGGGTCAGAGACTCTCCGTCAAGCTGCACAGGTGATAACGACCACTAGACACCTCCGTCTGCCTCGCCGTCCGTCACATGGCCGACGCTCGAAGGCAGGGCTGTCATTCCTCTGTGTCTTGGACGTGCCTCGCAGGAGACGGGATCGTTAGACCACGCGTGGTGATGGTCATCTTATCTTGAGAAACCACAGGCAGGTGTCTGTGATTCGGGGCAATGACTTGCATATCTCTTCACTGTCTCTCTTTCTCTGAGATGACGTTATGAATGGAGAGAGGAACTGAGATATAAAAGGGATTGGGAAAGAGAGAAAGAGAAAAAAACTCGAAAAAGGACAATGAGCGCTATCAGGATAGATTCTCCCATGATTTGAAAATTACACAACTTATGACCAGCAAGGAGTAGCGAGGTCGCGTGACACTCAAGGCAGGACCGCACGAATAACGCGACCCTCGAATAACGTTACAATAACTACAGGGCATGTATAAACCATAGCGTATTATTTCTACACTATGCTATCATTGTCAATTTCAAAATTTAACGCTGCACATTCTAAGGTTTTGACTACACAGTAAATATGACACTTGGCACTGAGGGTATAAATCTAGCACATTCGAATTCTGTGACTGGGAATTAAAACACATTCAGTGCAAGTGTTACACTAAGAGGGGGACCTGGGCTGTATGTGTGACTTGGGCGGCAATGGGCGTGTGACAGGACGTAACGAGGGCGTGAGAATACGCCTGTAAGCTAGGCTAAGAATCAGGTGGCTCAACACAGCAAAAAGCCGTCAAACAAGCTATCACATGTGTCAAACTGCGGTTATTTACAAGTGAAAGTTTCACTAAGAGTTAGGAGGGACCTCGTAAATTTCACAGCATAAGATATAAAATACATAGGAGAGCTTAAGCTTAAGGTGACAGAAAAGGGTCTTACTCCAGTTCTATGAGAGAGAAAAAAAGGTTACAGCTTAACATCTTTTATAGTCATGTATTTCATTCTTAGTAAGAAAGCTTAATTAACACATGTTAAATACATTATACGTATACTCTATTACAGTTACACGTATATACAAAGCTCTCTCAATCTGTTACAAAGGGACACATTAAACTTCATGATAAAGTACACAGTTAAGAAGAAGAATCCGCCACAACGGCATTAAACCCATACAATTACGTGGAAAGATGAAGGTAACACAGGACATGAGGTAAGAAAGAAAGAAACGGAAATAAAACAGAAGAAGAAGAAAAAGAAACTCAAACGTACAAAGCCACCACCCTGGAGGACGCCCCTATGAGACGTCCCCTTCAGGAGGGGCCCGACGTCTACCCGAAGGAAGCGCCGAAGAGAAGTTTACTCACCAATTCCTCGTCGTTGAGGGACGCTCTCGGGACCGCAGACGTCAGCCCGGCGTTCCTCTTGGTCGCTGCCATCGTCTGGGGGGGAGGGGGGAGAGGGGGAGCAGGGAAGGGGGAGAGAAAACAAAAGAAATATGTTAGTAAAGGATTTCGTTACTGTTTTTCATTATTAAAATGTGTGTGTGAAACGGAGATGGGATGATGGGAAGAAAGGAGGAAATAATGAGGTGGAAGACGAGAAGAAGGAGGAGGAGGAAAGAAGGAGAGTGAAATGATTGTGAGGAAAAAAAAATATGAAAAAAGTACTGAACCAAAGTACATGAGATGAAAAAAAAAAATATTTAGGTGGTGATATGCAATATTCTTTTTGATAACTTACGTAGACTTTGGAAAATAAAAGTGATATGTGGGAGGAAGAAAGTTGTTCACAATAAGCAAATCATAACGGATCCACGGGGCGTATGACAGGGTTATCATGAACACAAATTCAAGCGCGGAAACCAGAAGCATATGAACACAACTATGAACACAACTATGATAAGAATCTTTAAATGATAAAGAGTCTTAGATACGATGAATGTACAAGAAACATAATAAACAAAAAACAGTAAATAAATACACTATAATCCTTTTTTTTCGATCCACAGACAAAAAAAAAAAAAAAAAAAAAAAAAAAAAAAAAATCTGCAACTGTAGTACTTCATACTCATTTTTCTTCGCATAAGTTGCAATCAATGCCAATGTCTAAAAAAGGGGGACGGAGTATATTGCCCATTGAAAGATTAAATTCCGTAGCACGATGCCTCTCTTCAACAAATGGATACACTTTTGGTAAAAATGTCAACGCTATAGAGAATCAAACAAAAGCAATCAGAAAAAAGGTAGACGGAAAACTCGACCTAAAAGGACATATAAGGACAAAAATGTCAAATGCTTCCACTCGAGAAAAAAACAAATGAAAAAACAATCACAAAAGACAAAAAACCCAAACTTTAGATATAATAGAAACAAATATTTAAATGCAGGCCGATCTAAGTTAACAAAGAAAAGAAAAGGAAAAGAAAAAAAATCCCTCCGCCCTGATAAATCTCTCCACCGAATTCTTGGCGGGATTTTGGGTCAGTGGAGACTGTCATGGCGGGAGGGACTTCCGGTGGCCATCCCGGACTCGCGTGGGATGGCGTCGTGTTCAAATAAACAGAATAAATAAACAACAAACAAATAGCTAGATGAAAAATAATATATACATGTAAGTAGAAAAATACAGATAATGAATGAAATGAATAAACACGCAAATACAATAAGAGAAAACGAAGACGAACGATTCCCTCCGACACAACGAGGGAAACTGAAGACCCAGACAAATTCATCAAACCACACAAAAGGGAGAAAGAACGAAGGGAATAAAGAAACAACAACAGCAGAAACACACACACACACATACGCAAAAAAAGGGGAGAACCGAAATCAAAATACTCTTGGATCGACAGAAATAACTTAGAAATGTTCTAGCTGGGAGCGCCGCCAGACTTCAGAAGAAAAGAAAAACGCGAAGCGCAGTCACACGCGAGAGATCCAACTCGGAGTCTAATCTCAAAGTTATATGCGGCGGATGCATTGAGGGGAGGGAGGGAGGGAGGGAGGGGGGAGGAGGGAGGGAGGGAGGGAGGGAGGGAAGGGGGTGGAGGGAAGAGGAATGGAAGGAGACGACTTGGGGGAAGGGGGAGGCAGAGGGGGGGGGGGAGGAAAAAGGAGAGGAGGAGGAAGAAGACATGGGCGAGGGGAAAAGGGGGAAATTGGACGTAGAAGACGTATGGGAAGCGGAAGAGGCAAGAGGAAGAAGGGAAGGGAAACAGGAATGAGATGGAGGAGAAAAAAAAGGAAAGAGAGAATGGGGAAAAGCAGACGAGGAAGAAAGGGAAGGGAGGAGGAGAATACGGTAAAGAAAAGGAGAGAGAAGGATGTGAACGAGAAAAAAAGGGAAGGAAACAGGGAAGGGTAGGAGATGGAGGAAGAAGAACACTAAGGGAGGGGGGGGGGGCAGAGAAGATTAGAGAGGGAGAAAAAGACAAAGAGAGAGGGAAGAGGCAAGAGAAGGGGAGTAAGAAGACAAGTGACTGGAGGAGAGGGAACAGGAGAGAGAAGGGGAAAGGAAAGAAAACGGAGGGGATAGGAGAAATGGAAGAGGGCAGAAGAAGGGAGGAGGGAGAATGGAGAAGAAAGGAGAGGCGTGAGTAGAACGTGGAGGAAAGTAGTAAACGTAGTAGAGAAATGAGGGATGAAGGAGGAGGAAGGAGGGATATAAATATATAAATACATATATATATATATATATATATATATATATATATATATATATATATATATATATATATATATATATATATATACAAATATATATGTATATATATATATATATATATATATATATATATATATATATATATATATATATATATATATATATATATATATATATATAATAAGAAGGGACTACGACGAAGTTGCTGTGACAACAAAATCTATTTGTCTCTTAGTTATCTGTAATTGTGTTTTTTATGCTTATGTCGTTTATTTCAGATTATTTAAGTCATAAAGAATGGTAAGTTATGTGATCCAGAACGAAACTGCATAATTCAGCAACTCTAAACAAACTGCCATTTCGCTAATAAAATGGGAAAAAGAAAACAAGAAAGAAAATACATACTGTATATATATATATATATATATATATATATATATATATATATATATATATATATATATATATATATATATATATATATATGTATATATATATGCATGTATATATATATGTATATGTATGCACATAAATACATGCATACATTTATATATATATATATATATATATATATATATATATATATATATATATATATATATATATATATATATATATATATATGTATGTATGTATATATATATATGTATGTATATGTATATATGTATATGTATATATGTATATATATATATATATATATATATATATATATATATATATATATATATACATATATATATATATATATATATATATATATATATATATATATATATATATATATACATATATATATATATACATATATACACACATACATATATACACACATACATATATACACACATACATATATACACACATACATATACATATATACACACATACATATATACACACATACATATATGAATGTTATATAATATAGTATTATATATGAATGTTATATAATATAGTATTATATATATATATATATATATATATATATATATATATATATATATATATATATATATATATATATATATATATATATGTATCAAAGGCACGAAAAAAGGTGAGAGGTAGAGAGTGAAACACAGTGAAGTGGATGGATGAATCACATGATGAAAACGCTTGTAGGTAAAAAAAACTCAAAATGGCAAAGGTGAGGTATGATCAAGAGAAAATTGGAAGTATCGGAAATAAGTTCGAAAAATGCGGGGTTAAAGTGGAAAACAAACTGCATTTTTTATATAATCTCTATGATATGAGAGGATTTTCGTAATGGTGACATTAGGTAAAGCAAATATGAGCATATCAATGATTAACTTTTGACTGTCGGTTAAAAATGTTAGGATTGGCAAGACACATTTAATTTTTTGTAATGGGCAAAAATATCTGTTTAACATATGAATATTTCATAATCTTATTCTCAAATTGACGAAACAATCAAGTTGAACAATTGAAAAACTGAATAATTCCTGAGGGAGGCCATATTCGCTCAGGTATGCAGTTAAACTTCCAAACCTACGGACACTCAATTTACTCCTGCATGTTTGAAGACACATGTGCCCTGATCCTGTAAGAATAAGGTTTTAAGGGAGGAAAAAAATTAAGAAAATTATGCAATACCGTATGAAGAAAAAAGAGGAAAAAAACAACAACCCAAAGAATATGAATAATCATGCAGACGCATGCACCATGCACGCGCCAGGCAAGCAAACACTTGATATCAAGACCATCATTATGCAGATGTGGGTTACATAAATAGGTTCAAAATAAGAGGAAGGTCGAAACAAACAAATAAACTTAAAAGTGGAACCAAAGAGGGGATATTTCGAGCCGTCAGTGAAGGGGGAGATGGGGAGGAGGAGCGAGGAAGAGGGAGGAAGAGACAGGAGAAGAGAAGGGGAGAAGGGGGAGGGCAAGTGAAATTCTCAGGCACCACAGGAACGCAATGAATAATAGTAGTGATGTTCATCATGAAATTATAGAAAGGCCAAAAAATAAAACCAAAATGCATGAATGTATGAGATGTGCTTCGTAGGTGGATGGATAACAGAATGCACAAGGAAGAAGAAAGAAAAAGGAATAAAAAATAAAAACGTGTTGCAGAAAGTAGAGCAAACTCATTTCCTCATCAGTCACAATGCTCAGTTTGCGATATACAGTGGCAGAAGTCGGATCATCCATATAGCACTTTGTAATTTGTTTTATTTATATGAGTGATTTAGAAAAAAATATTAGTACAGCAGACAATTCATTATGATTAATAAAACTTCAAAGAGTTAAATCAGCAGCAACCGATTTTTTGTAACAAAATAGAGATTCACTGGAGAAAAAAAAGTGCAGGTGACATGCACGGTGTGCTTTAATACTGCCTCTTTATGTACAGACTATCATGTTCTACGTTAATATACATCATAACGTTGAGTCATTTAAGCACATCTAGAACAACTAGAAAAAGCACTGTTGGATCTTCTAGAGCTTTCCTTCTAATCTAGTTATTAACACCATCCTAAGATGAGGTTCAGACTATACAGTGGACACTGATGAAGAGAATAGGGGGCGCGCCACCACAGAACGAGCACTGGCTATTGTGGTAGTTGGCTGCACGATTTTTCTATTTCTTGCTTTGTTTATAGGTTTAAATATTGATTTTAACATCCATTATTTACCAAAAAAAAACAAACAAAGCAAAGTGGCGCTGAGCCTTTAATCATCAAGTTTGCAAATACAGATTAGGAAAAAATAAATGGAAGTCTGCGGGACATTGTCAGACTCTGAAGTA